TAAAGAATGTTCATTAAAAATTGAAAAGCACTACAGTTCTGTTTCGAGAGGCCCTTTCTAGATCCTCTCTCTTCAGGTGCATGATCAGATTACACTAAAATATCCCATTTATATACCGATCGTTCATAGTCATAAAGCCTAACCGTTTTTAATTAAAAATTTATTTGCATGACGGCATGCACTAGCCAGTTCGTTTCTTTTGTTTAGAGTACAAGTTTCCGGTTTACAAATGATGAAATATTTTTCCATTATACATAAATTACATTTTTTCCCAATATTTGAATACGGATTTGCACGGGCCATTATTATAAGTTGGCGTCTTTATTGATTGCTTCCGTGTGTTCGGACAGTTTGCGTTGGAACTCCGAGGGCCTAGGTGTTCTGAATTCGATGTTATGGATCATATTGGTCATCTTGGTTTCAAACTCGTTTAGCTCGGGTACTTGTGGTGGGGTTTTCTTCGATTTAAATCCATACGTTTGCTGTTCGTTGTTTGTTGTAGATGGTTTTAGGAAGTGGTAGGCACGCCATCGCATTCTGTTGATCAGTTTGCCAGTCATTTCAATCAGCCTTTTGTGGTATTCTTTATTAGTCGGTATTGGGATATTTTTCGTCGAACAATCAAAGTTTATCCTTTGCATATCGGCTTTTTGGAAATATAGTGCTCAACTTGAGGAGCGTGTAAATACAAATTGGTTTTCTCCTTCTGCCGTATATAGTGCTCTACACCAAAGTGGAGCTAAGTTAAAATTAAAAATTAAAGATTAAAACCTAAGAATGTTCATTAAAAATTGAAAAGCACTACAGTTCTGTTTCGAGAGGCCCTTTCTAGATCCTCTCTCTTCAGGTGCATGATCAGATTACACTAAAATATCGTTCATAGTACCGATCGTTCATAGTAGTTGACTTAAACTGGTTTACTGTTTGCTGTTCGTCGTGTGCTTGGAAATGGTCACCACATTCCATCTGCTCCATCATCCTGGTTTCTGGCCAGGCAGTCCTATGAATGTGAATACATTCTACGATCAGAAACTGTTCTCCCTTTGGGATGCGTTTAGAAAACAAATGCCAGGCTCCTCTCAAACAGCATTTCTACGTAGTTTAGAAGACCTGTCTCATTCAAAGAACAGGGTAATATGTTAATTTTGTACAGTATTGTTCTACTGTACTGCCAAGCTTTTAGCCAAATTAATTTTTTATTAACCTTTAATATGTTAAATTGTTGAAGTTCTCATTATATCTGTCGTGTAGTTGGATTATTTTTTCTCTGTTAAGAAAGCAGTTTTTGAAAAAAGTGAAGACAACTACATGTAACTCAGATTACAATGCATGCTGACACAATCTCAATTGTGATTGCTAAGAACCTACAGACAATTCTCAATGTCTTGTCACCTACAATGACAGTGAACATTGTCTCTAGGCATGAATGCATGGCTTTCCTACAAAACTGTCAAAAGGCTTCCACATTTTTAATTGTTTAGTAAAACAATTATTTAATTCGGCTTTTGAATGATATCAAGAATTATCCAAGTTGCCTTGGTCAATGTTATCCAATAATTCATATAACATTGACCTCAGTCTGGATAATTCTTGATATTATGCTCAGTCTCATCCATTCGGGCCCGCAGTAATTGGCTATTCGCTGTTGCGGTCACCCAGCCGTGGTCATGTACCTACTGTATTTCATTATGTACGTTTGTTTTTGTCCTAGTTGTCATGCAATGTACTGTTTCATCGGCAAAGTTTATAAATTAAAAATTAAATTAGTAATTGTTAATTACAAGCCCATGCATTTACATTTCCCTAAATATTTAATTATATTATTATATATACTGAGTAACTGTAATGTTTTTAACTACTTTACAGGGAAATGTTATAAATGCATCAACTTTTAGAAAAGCTTTTGCAGAGTGGTGATATTGCCAGTTTGAACTGGATTCTTTACAGCATCAGGACTGGCAGAAGTGTCCACATTGCAGCGTTGACCAACACTCTTGTCATGTTGATGGCAACCATAAGGTTTACCGATTCAAGAAGGTATCAAGATGAACAACATTAGTTTCTAATTATGTAGTTGGCATTATTAATTATGTTCTTTTAAATTGCGCATGGTATTCATAGTAATTAATATAAAGCTATGCGTCCAATAGACGTGAAATGGTAATTACAGTATAAAGTATGCATGAGCAGCTGATCTTTGTCTGATTTACAAGGCAAGCTGAAGGCGATCAGTTCTAAGTCAGATAAAGACTGGATGCAAATGCTTTATAGTGTTTAAAATACGAAATTAATACACTTAATTTTTGCAAACAGTGAATAAACATTTATATTGAATTTTCTTCATCTATTAAACTAACCAGTGTTTTTAATAAACGGTTACTGTACATACTGTAAACATCATTCCACACAATGCGCGTCAGCCATGGGTCTATTGTGGGCACCAGCCAGCGTGGTGTGTCCCAATAGATTGGTTGTAACCCAAGGATAGTAAATATATATTGAACTACAGTGTCGTGTAATACAATTGCATCAAATTAATGCAATATAATTATTTAATACATTTGCTTTACTTTTAGGGGTAGTAATCCTTCTTATTACTGTGACTATCTGATTTTTGACAATGCCAAGGTAGATTCACACATCATAAGTTTGTCTCAAACTGCAAACAAGAATGAAGTGCAAGTAAGAAATTTCATTTGTTATTAGTAAGGTTAAGGTTAGTTAGTCCAACAACTACTCTTAGGTAAAATAAAACTAGTAGATTAATTGGGAATACTTTTCTGTTTAGAAGGGAAACAATGCTTGCGGTGACACACACTGGAAGGCGGCCAAAGCTGTTTCAAAATCGAAGAAGAACCAAGATGAAACTGGTTTGGTTGTTGCTGGTTGCAGGCATTCAATTTCACAGGCAGCTTTAAACATGTTTAGAGGAGAGGTTTATGGTTATACACATTATTTAAATTTTATTCAACCAAACAGAGTAAAGTTTTTGTGGCAGGATGTTGTATGTAAATACTGGCCATGGGCTCAGCGAGTGGCTTCCGAAAAAGAAAAGATGGCATTAGTAAACACAAAACCAGCTTTGTCCCTCATGCATGGTAAATCACACAGTTGGTCTTGTCAGGTAATTTCCTTAGTTGTTTTCATGTTTGCCCGATAGCAGATATTTTGAATGACACATTGTATGATATATCAGATATTTTGAATGAAACATTGGTACAGTAGTGATCATAGGCCAAAGCCAAATTTACCAAATTATGGTTTTATTTTTTGTGTGAAAGTCGAATGGGATGTGCACAAAGTTATGAAAATCGGATAAGAAATTTACAAAGTTTGTATAGCTTTTCTGGGCTAAAAATAACTGAATATTGTTATGTGTAATAATTACTACTGTATATATGTGCAATTTACGCATGAATTGACTTATGTCTAAAGTCTAATTTAGTTAATCGATATCGTATTTTTTACATAGGTTATCTGGAGTGGTAGGTGGCAAGAAGGTGCATCAGCAACAGCTGGTGAGGAAGTTGAGCAAATTAACAGCTATCTTTCCAGACTTGGATCTACAACAAAAAATATGACTGCATCAGGTTAAATTACATGTGATAAAGAAAAAAATTAAAATTGTCATAAAATAAAATTTCTGTAAATTTCTTCTCTATAAATTCTCTTTACAGGTCGCGAGGACTGTATCACTGAGCACCTTTTAAGTTGGAATAAGCGGAAAATCGTCAATCTACCCAAGGCATTAGTTCTTCGTTTGAAAACGGTAATTTAACAACTTCAAGGAAATGTATTAGGTACATGTCTAAGAGAGTTCTTCTCATTGTTTTCAAGGATAGACGGATATTCTGGGGGGGGGGGGTGTAGTTCGGGGGTATTTTGCACACACGCACCTTGCTGTTGTTTTATTTTTTGTCATGCGCAGTATATATAATATATTATTTTGTTTTATTCACACTCCCTTGTAGACTGAAAATAAACTTGTGGATGCCAAAAATGACCTTACTAAGTGTACATCAGACTTTGGATTATCAGACGCCGATTTAAATGCCTTGGTTATGTTATGGAAGCAAGACGTTCAACAGTTTGCGATGGGTACTATGAAGCTACTTTATTCTGTTGCTAATAAAAGTTATAAGATTTACTGTGGTACTAGTTCTAATACGAATCGGACAAATTTATCGGAATTTGAAAGTCCGTGTGAGTTTTGAAAAGCCGAGCCTTTTTTAATAGACGCGAAGTCGCGAACTTTGAAACTCCCTTTGCAGTCGAGTGTTTGAACTGATATCTGGAACTTATATCATCAATGATGGAATTTGCATGAATTTCAAAGTACTGCATGGTACTTTTGAAAATATTATACCTCAAATTCAAATTGTCCAATCAGGAAGCTTAGTTTGTGCCACGTGAGCATGAAATTAATTGCGATATCACGTCTTACGTCATCAATTAGGGAGCCTGCGTTCCTTTTGACAATGTTCCACCCCATGTTCCCCGGGGAACCTGGAGTGGAACATTATTCACGCAGACCACGCGAGACAACACGCATGACAACAACATGGCCGACAAAATATAAATAGTATTGATGAGTGATGAATAATCAAAATTTAAACGTAAAGCCTGGGGCTTTTTCAAAATTTTGAAGCAAATTTTGAAAAATGTTGTCATTAATATTCCAAACGATGTTTGATTCGAAAGAAAAGCGACTATACTTGCGTTAATCCGAAAATAAAACATCGTATTCACGAAGCCGAAGATATGTGCAATGTGTCAAGTTTTTAATTCTCAACTTGGAGGCTTTTAATTTTCGGTATAATATATCATTTATAGACCTTCCGCTCGGGGGATTCGGCGAAATATTACCCTCAGTGATGATATATCATCACTTCGGGTAATATTTTGCCGAATCCCCCTCGCTCCAGGTCTATAAATGATAAATGTTGAATTGAGTATTTAATCAGTCCCACAGTATTTCCTCCAGTTTCAAAACACTTATTAGATATGAATTTCTTTTGTGTTGTCATGAATTATTATTGAATTGAGAATTTGACGTTTTTCACATGTTCAGAACAACAGAGAGGCAAAAATGGTGAAGTTGGAGATTTGGGGGAATTTTATCTTCTCTATCACACGGTGCAGAATGCTCAACGTTTGACGGAATTTGTTTGCGCCAACGACGACCAGACGACGATAAATGCTTGGGAATCAACAATTTCATCAAGTTGCTGCGGATCAAACGAAGGAGTTGGATAAGAATATGGCGAGATTGCGTGTTTTGAAAACCAGTCTTTTGAGCCAGCGAAATAGCACTGAGGAGGAGATTCTTGCACAGGGGAAGGTTGAATTTGCCAAAGTAACGGTGACTGGATTGCAAATGAAGTTGGAAATGCTGTATTTTTCTATTACAAGACGTCTCAAGGAGATATCATCACTTGCTGGTTGGTATATTATACCAAATTTATTTTTACGTAAGCTGCATGACACTTGCATGCATTTAGATTCTTGTACCCGATTTTTAGATTCCAGTAAAAGAAGGTCGTCAATGCGACTGAAATGTTCAAAAGAAAAATCAGAACTAATGTTGTCTGTGGAGGCGTTAAATACTGTTAGCAAACTGCTTGCTCTAACTCCGACAAATGCTGAAGATATTCTTGCAGGAGAATTTCCCTGGTCATTTAGCGAGGAGTCAACTACCTCGCAAGGTACATACTTTATGCATTTAGCTTTACGAAAATTAAGTTTTTGTGGTCCATCCAAATAACACGTTATGTGTTCCTAGATCTTCCCATACGATGCAAAGCACAAGTAGTAGACAAGTTCATGTTGGTTGAAAGACTAAAAGAAGAGAAATCCCAGTTAAGAATGGAAATGAAAAACTTCCTTATGTTCTACTTGGAAACCATTGTGCCCAATCTTCGTGAAAAAAAAGTCGGCATTAATGCCCGAATAGGTAGTCAATTATGATGCATATTTATAGATTGTGTATTTTGTGATCAATTTGCAGTGTCACCAAAATGCCACTAACCCCAAATATGATTTTTTGTATGTGCGATATAATATTTAGATGCGATACTGCATATATTTTTAGTTAACAACATCATCATGATTTCATGAGATGGATTTTTATGGTAAAAAAAGAACAAAGGAAAGCTAATTTGAAATTATGTAATGACGGTAACGTCTACAGCGAAAAGGTTGCACAAGATGAGATTTTTTTACAATAAAGATCACGACATTACTTCTTAGAAATACCCAAATATTACCAATACCAAAAATCACATTTGGTGTTAATGGCACTTCAACTTAGAACTCATGTTAATTATTTTTTTATGTAGATTATATTAACAACGTGGATGAACCAGATGATAAATACTCGAGTAAAGATGAGGTATATATATGCTCTAGTCATGTACAGTACATATCGGTATATATAAGACGTCGTAATATATGTTGTGTTTTTGCATATTTAGAGTGCAGTTGATAAAGGACGACGGTATTTGGTGCGTACTGAGAGACTAGATACCTTACAAGGTCACCTTGCTATTGTTAATATGGGGATAGCCTTTGCCAAAAGCCAGATAAGAAATGGATTGGAATACTTCAGAGATCTGGATAATTCATTGGCAAGTTTGGAAGATAGCGACGACGACGTTAGTAGTGATGAAGATGACGATGATACCAACTCCGATTGTGAAGACGCCTTGTCAAGTCATGAGAACAGTGAACTTGAAACATTTTATGACTAAAGAAAAATCGTAAACCTTAATCTTTTGCAAACATTTTCAAACATAAACAATAATAATTTATTGTATAGTATATATTTCCACTAAATAAATGAAATGTTTTATTAAAGAATATACATATAAAAATTGCATATTTAATAATTATTCACCGACGTGGCCGGTAAATAGTGCCAGGGTAATTAACAATATTAAATCATGCAATATGCATCGTGGTCACAGTTAACAATTATTCACTGTGGTTCGTGTGTCTGAGCCGTACATTATCATAATAGGCAAATTATTGATGTATGCACATTTTACTCGTTATTGAACAAGAAGCTATGAATGGCTGTCATATAATCTGGCAGGCCGGTTCAATTCCAGTACATGGCGTGTAATATCAGTATAAAGCTACATCAATTAAGGTTGTCTTCGACAAAGCCGAGTCGAAAGGCTAAAGCCAAGGGCGAAAATCAGGCAAACAAAAACGAACTTTTCCATGTTTGTGTAAAAAATCACCTTGTTTCAATGCACACTCACGAACATTTCGACTATAGTTTACTCTGGATATTTCAACAGCAATTCCATAATCATGCACTCTCGACATGCCTTGGGATGTATTGATATCCACCCATAACGCCTAACCAATTATACGGATTTACCCAGCTAGCATATCAACAGTTCAACTTTAAGCCTGTTTTCCACTTCAATCGTATCCTACCGAAACGTAGCGCATTTCTTTGTTTCCTGAGCACTAGTGTGGAACTAGTGACTTCGACACAACAGAAAATCCTATGGTACGTTACGATACGGTTGAAGTGGAAAACAGGCTTAAAGACTGGAACTAGCGGAGATTCAAAGTCATTTCTGTGATAACCTCTATCACATACAGTATAGGTATAAGTACAGGTATATAGGATAAACAATGATCACGTGTGTTCAGCGATATATAGACTCCCTCGAATTAGTTACACGGCAACTCAGGTCCAAGACTTAGAACATGATAACATCCACGAAGAATTCTTTCTCTCTTTATATTTTTGGGATATATGCTTTATCGTATTATACTAATAAGGCTTTGTCTTGGTTTGTTTATCTTTTGTTGAATGCTTCATTGGTAAGCTCTATATAGAGACACTCTATAATTGATATGATGAATTAGCTCGCTATCCCGACAGTTTATGGGATATAGAGCACTGAAATACAGAGTTCTGATTGGCTGAGTGGGTGTGATCATGTTCTAAATAGGTATAGTTGATCAGGGGAAACGGATACAAACAACAATTTACTTTTTGTAATTTTGTTTAAAAATTGGCACACTACAATAACTTGGTGAGATAAACACGATATTAAAATTTCAAGTCAATCTAAAGAATGCTTCGGGTAAACAGGCGAGGGGTTATTGCATGCATGTATTTCTAGTATACAGTATAGATATGTAGTTGATCAGGGGCACCGGATACAGATTACGTACTTACTTTTTGTATTTTTATTTAAAATTTGGCACACTATAATAACTTGGTGAGATAAACACCATATTAAAATTTCAAGTCAATCTAAAGAATGCTTCGGGTATTTTTGAAACATAGTCATTTCTGGAATAACCCCTATAATATACAGTATAGATATGTAGTTGATAAGGGGCACCGGATACAGATTACGTACTTACTTTTTGTATTTTTATTAAAATTTGGCACACTACAATAACTTGGTGAGATAAACACGATATTAAAATTTCAAGTCAATCTAAAGAATGCTTCGGGTATTTTTTAAACATAGTCTTTTCTGGAATAACCCCTATAATATACAGTATAGATATGTAGTTGATCAGGGGCACCGGATACAGATTACGTACTTACTTTTTGTATTTTTATTTAAAATTTGGCACAATACAATAACTTGGTGAGATAAACACGATATTAAAATTTCAAGTCAATCTAAAGAATGTTTCGGGTATTTTTGAAACAGTCATTTCTGGAATAACCCCTATAATATACAGTATAGATATGTAGTTGATCAGGGGCACCGGATACAGATTACGTACTTACTTTTTGTATTTTTATTTAAAATTTGGCACACGACAATAATTACTTGGTGAGATAAACACGATATTAAAATTTCAAGTCACTCGAAAGAATGCTTCGGGTATTTTTGAAACATAGTCATTTCTGGAATAACCCTATAATATACAGTATAGATATGTAGTTGATCAGGGGCACCGGATACAGATTACGTACTTACTTTTTGTATTTTTATTTAAAATTTGGCACACTACAATAACTTGGTGAGATAAACACCATATTAAAATTTCAAGTCAATCTAAAGAATGCTTCGGGTATTTTTGAAACATAGTCATTTCTGGAATAACCCCTATAATATACAGTATAGATATGTAGTTGATAAGGGGCACCGGATACAGATTACGTACTTACTTTTTGTATTTTTATTTGAAATTTGGCACACTACAATAATTACTTGGTGAGATAAACACGATATTAAAATTTCAAGTCAATCTAAAGAATGCTTCGGGTATTTCTGAAACATAGTCATTTCTGGAATAACCCTATAATATACAGTATAGATATGTAGTTGATCAGGGGCACCGGATACAGATTACGTACTTACTTTTTGTATTTTTATTTAAAATTTGGCACACTACAATAACTTGGTGAGATAAACACGATATTAAAATTTCAAGTCAATCTAAAGAATGCTTCGGGTATTTTTTAAACATAGTCTTTTCTGGAATAACCCCTATAATATACAGTATAGATATGTAGTTGATCAGGGGCACCGGATACAGATTACGTACTTACTTTTTGTATTTTTATTTAAAATTTGGCACAATACAATAACTTGGTGAGATAAACACGATATTAAAATTTCAAGTCAATCTAAAGAATGCTTCGGGTATTTTTGAAACAGTCATTTCTGGAATAACCCCTATAATATACAGTATAGATATGTAGTTGATCAGGGGCACCGGATACAGATTACGTACTTACTTTTTGTATTTTTATTTAAAATTTGGCACACCACAATAATTACTTGGTGAGATAAACACGATATTAAAATTTCAAGTCACTCGAAAGAATGCTTCGGGTATTTTTGAAACATAGTCATTTCTGGAATAACCCTATAATATACAGTATAGATATGTAGTTGATCAGGGGCACCGGATACAGATTACGTACTTACTTTTTGTATTTTTATTTAAAATTTGGCACACTACAATAACTTGGTGAGATAAACACGATATTAAAATTTCAAGTCAATCTAAAGAATGCTTCGGGTATTTTTGAAACATAGTAATTTCTGGAATAACCCCTATAATATACAGTATAGATATGTAGTTGATCAGGGGCACCGGATACAGATTACGTACTTACTTTTTGTATTTTTATTTAAAATTTGGCACACTACAATAACTTGGTGAGATAAACACGATATTAAAATTTCAAGTCAATCTAAAGAATGCTTCGGGTATTTTTGAAACATAGTCATTTCTGGAATAACCCCTATAATCCCCGAGCCGGCGGCGCGAAGCGCCGTGCGAGGGTACTAATTCCCCCCGGCTATTTACACCCGGGGAAACGAAAGCATTAGGGAAGTCTGAAGTTCATCAAATATCGCGGGCGTGGGTCACTGTGCGTGTTTCGGTGGGTGGTCATCCTCACTGATCTCAAAAATATGGCGGACTGTCATGAATAGCGAACACTGATTGGTCAAATTTAAAATTTGTTGTTGTACGACGAATGACTACTTCAACTGACAGATACTTCATGAAAATATTTTGCTTTTTGCACTGCAATATTTTGTACGTTTGCAAAAAACTTTGACAGCTTTCAAAGCAATTTGTTCTATAAAAAGTTTAATAAAACAATTACGGTATCAAATACCAATTGAAAAGATATGGACTACTGTATGGAGCCAAATGAAGAGCGGCAAGGAAACGACAAGAAAGCCGAACGTCTAGCGAAAGGGAGGGAGCTAGCGAAGACGACAACGTTTGCTCGAGGAGACTGCTGAGGAAAGAGAAGCTCGCCTGGGAAAGCGTAGAGAAGCATGGAAAAAAAGACTGCTGAAGCGAAAGGTAAGCAAAGGCTTGTCTTCACAACGCTATGTACCAATGATACTGTAGCTATATATACAAGTTGAAGTATGATATTCGACCCTCTATATTCGACTATTTCTTCACAATTTTCCAATAAAGAGTTTGTCATGACACGCTCAAGTCAGTACAGTATAACCAGACTGTATTTTATTTATATCAGTTATCACAGCCACAGGCAATTTTATGCTGTCAAATACCGTCGGTTGCAACTAAGGGTGAACAGTTGCAGATAAAACATTCTCTATTCTCATTAAAAGGCCTGTAAAAGTTTTCAGTAAGTCTCTAGCCCAACACGTTCAGACCACACAAAGTTTTGTTACTTATTATTGTCCACTGTTCACATGGGAAACAACAATTAAGTGTTGTTGTTCTTGACAAACATTGAAGATTCTAATCACGCGAATGTTTTTATGAGCAACTGTTCATCGTTAGTTGCAAGCGACGGTACAAACATTTTTCCGACTGTGACCGAATGTGCAACGATATATTTTTCAAAGTTGTTGTCAATTCCTAAAATTTGTTTATAGTAAAACGGCCTGCTCAGCACTCACTACTCACGATGATTTCATTTAGAAATGCAGTTACCAGGGAAGGAACTGATTCTAAAATATGTAAATTTAAAAGCATTGGCTAACAGAATAAAGCGATGTGAAGACAAGGTACAAACTTTTATAGTTGCTATTTGTTATAAAATCCTATAAATAAACCGATTCAACAATAATATTGCCTCGAATTTGCATATTCTATGCCGCATGTTTATATTTTATTTTTATAGTATAAAAATAA